CAAATGTATATCGGTTCCAAATATCGGTTATCGTTCTGCTTGATTACTAATAATCGGTATCTGCCTTGAAAAAGCCATATCGGTCGATCCCTACTTGCTACCATACTGTCTTTGTTTTCTTTCCTGTAAAACCTAGAAAATAAAAATGAAGTTACAAAAAAAGCAACGTTTTGTTCTCATTTTCACAGTGGCTACAGTGTAGTAGTTAGCAATGTTAATCTAAAGTCCTTGAGCTACTAACAGTGCATCATACAATATACCGTAATTTTCCGACTATAAGCCGCGCCTTTTTTCCCATTTTTCGACGCTGCGGTTTATATAACGGTGCGGCTAATCTATGGATTTTTACAGCTAACGGCCACCACCTTTAACTCTATGGGCTCTATGGCCGGTCCGCGGACCCACACCTTTAAGCAGCGGGTTCCAGCAGGAAAAGCTGGAGGCCGGAAAAGAGTGAGACAGGTAGCGCGCAAAAGTAAAAGTGGAACCGAGAGTGGTACGAGAGACAGAACGAGAGCAAGACAGACAAACATTACGAGAGCGAGACAGTTTGTCCCCGTACCACTGGTTGAAAACCACTGCTGTAGATCACTGCCGGTACGTGCGCTGGGAGCGCACCGTTTAAGTTTGAAAGTTGAAAAGTTTGTGTGTCTGAAACGCTTTGTGATACAGTACAGTTTACACAGCACAGTACATGTTCTGTAGCTACTATTGCACTAAATGGTAACACTTGAATACGTTATGCAAATATGCAACTTGTTTGTTGAAATGTTAATAAATGGGAGCTTCCTCAAACAGCCATCTCTTTCCCGACAATCCCCTCTGTGCACGAACCCTTACATATGGTAATTAAACATTAAAACACCTGCGGCTTATAGCCCAGTGCGGCTTATATATGTACACATCATTCAATTTAGCTGCTGCGGCTTATATTCAGGTGCGCCTTATAGTCCGAAAATTACGGTACTCCTTCAATAATTTTTTTTTTTACTGTTAAGCGATTAACGGGCCCATAGGGGAGGGAAGGTGCCCGTACTTATGTTTTCTCCCTGTGCAGGTGATGCAGATGAAGCTGCACATCGTGGCTCTCATAGCTCAGAGAGGACAGTTTTCAAAGACCTCAGCCTCTGTGGTTTTGGACGGCTTGGTGGACAAGGTTGGAGATGTCAAATGTGGTGGAAACGCCAAAGAGGGACTGACTGCTATTGGGGTGGCATGCTCACTGCCTTGGACTGCAGAACAGGTGCGTATCCCGTTTCTCTAGGCAGAACACAACTTTTTTCTAAAATCTCAAGAGTGATCGGCTACAGCAGGGGTTCCCAAAGTGGGGGTCGCAAGATGATTACAAAATAAAAAAATAAAAAATAAAAATTATTAAAAAAAATTGATTAATATTTTTTATAATAAAAAAAAAAGATAATAATTAATAATAACTTTTGCATAGACATTTTCAGGGGCGGACTAGACATCAGTATAATTTCCCCGCTAAGAGGCTCCCCCTTTGACAATCCACTAGCGCAGTGTTTCTCTGAAACTGAAATTAATTCGCTAGCAAAAAACCCTGTATACTGTATTAACACACTCTGTTTATTTTTCAGGTTGTGTCTATGGCATTTGCACAAAAGAATCCTAAAAACCAAGCGGAGACTCTCAACTGGCTGGCTAATGCCATGAAGGAGTTTGGCTTTGCTGGGTAATTTGAAGTTCTTATTTACATGCTCATTATTGATCAAAACATAAATATATGAGGTTTCATGGTTTTTAATGGCGTTTTAGAAAGTTCCAGAATATCTTTTTCAGTTAGTCATTTTTACTTAAGAAGAGACACAACTTGCACCTTCATGGTATCTGATTACCTCTGACCCCCCCCTCTCTCAGTATCAATGTGAAGGGCTTCATCAACAACGTGAAGACGGCTCTGGGAGCGACTAACCCTGCAGTGCGGACGGCTGCCATCACCCTGCTGGGAGTCATGTACCTGTACATGGGTGCTCCTCTTCGCATGTTCTTTGAAGATGAGAAGCCTGCTCTCCTGTCACAGATAGACGTCCAGTTTGAAAAGGTAGGGACTTCGTGTGTGGCTCAGGAATACAAGAGATCAAGGTTTTATTCCTTTTATACATTGGTAATAAAAACTGAAATAAGGACTTTTCTCAGCACTCTGTTATCTCGTCAACAAATTATAAGGACATCTATTTGTGTGGGCATCTCCCTCACAGATGCAGGGCCAGTCTCCACCAGCTCCCATCAGATTCACCAAGAAGTCAGCGGAAGACGAGGAGGGTGATGAAGCAGAGGAGCAGGAAGAAGATGTTGGAGGAGGAGGAGGAGGAGGAATGGACATCATGGACCTGCTGCCCAGAACAGATATCTGGTAACCAAACACTCACACCTTCAGTGAGACTGCACAAAGACTACAAGGTTTAATTATTCTTTTTGAAGTGTGAATCCGATGATAAAAAATGAATAATCATAATTCTTGTTTTATTTTCGACACATTCTCAGCCGTTAATATTTTGTTTTCTGAATGAATGCAAAAAACCTGAAATAGATTTGTCTACAGAATATAAGGTGACGCTACTATTGGTTTACCTGCACATAGAATAGTTGTTCAAAGAACATTTTGACAAGGAAATCATTAGAAACGTGTTGTCTTACCATTTAACAATACCACAGTGTATTTACCTGTCCCTTTATCTCTTTCTCTTAACTGCTCAAGTTGTAAGACACTGTTCTCACCTCATCTCTTACATCTCTCTTTTCTTTCCCATCTTTAGTGAGAAAATCACATCTGATCTGGTGTCTAAAATTGGTGATAAGAACTGGAAGATCAGGAAGGAGGGTCTGGATGAGACTGCAGCCATCATCTCAGAGGCCAAGTTCATCACCACAAACATCGGAGACCTGCCACTTGCCTTGAAAGCACGACTCAGTGATTCCAACAAAATCCTGGTTAGTGAGAGAGCAGGGTTATCCTGTCCATTAAGATTTGAATATTATGTTAGAACGCCATCTAGCAGAACTGACTGCTTTCAAATAACGTGAAACTAGGTCCAAGTCGACAGCATATTGTCACTTGTTTAATTTGATTGAGACGATTAAATTACTTTCCTTTCACTACCATGTACACATGCAGTACTTTGTAGTTTTGATTGGTTTCCCTTTCAATGAGCTGTGTTTGGAAGCATCATCATCATCAACAACAGCAACAACAACTGAGTAAAGCCTTGTACTGAAATGTCTCTAAAAATATCCAATCAATTTTTGGAAAGTGTGAACTCCTGCCCTAAATATCTATTAGTTAGAGTTTAACTAGAGTAGAGTTAAATGTTTCTTACATGTTTTTTGTCATATTTGAGATGTTTGATGTTATATCGATGTGTTTTTTGAATTTTTAGAAGCACAATATCACTCAAGTATTTCACTCTTAACGAAGGATTTAAAAACTACTTTTTACAGTAATTGAATATTAAAATGGCAGTAATGTTTGGTCTCCAGGTGCAGCAGACCCTGACTATCCTCCAGCAGCTGGCTGCAGCCATGGGACCGGGACTCAAGCAGCATGTCAAAACACTGGGAATGCCTATTATCACTGTACTTGGGGACAGCAAGGTATTGTGCACATTCACTCAAATCAGATGGACACTCACCACCCACAGTAACACACCTGTGTGTGCACATTCAACAGATATGGCAATGTTTTGATAGCATTGAGATGGACAGAAATGAGTAGGGATGGGCACCGAGCCCTGGTATTAAAGGGGCACCGGGGATGAATATTTAAAGACCGTGGTACCGTTAAGCGCCGACGTTATCGGTCTTTTTTATCCGTACTGGAGACATTTCAAAAATATATGTCATGTGTATTGTTGCTACATAAACATATTGCAGTCTTAGTGTCGCCAACTCCGTTTTTAATATGCAAAAAGACAACAAAAAAATGCGTCTATGATGTATTTTCGATCTTTCCAATCCAGACGAGAGATCTTTCTCCCCTGTCTGTGTGCCAGGGGGCGGGGCAGTTTACACACACGCGGCTGCTACATGCAGACAGACAGACAGACAGACAGACAGACAGACAGACAGACAGACAGACAGACAGAGCGGAGAGAACTAAGCCCTCCAAGGTGTGGTTAAACTTTACCCATCTTGATGTGGACAATGCTCGTTACCAAAAGTGCAATAAGAGTTTAGCATTTAAGGGCGGTAACACGAGCAATTTGTCTAAGCATTTAGCAAAAGAGCACCACATTCAGACGGAGAAATGCACCGTTTTCGACTGTCTTTCTGGTAGCTCTGTAGTCCCATCCACGAGTAACGTTTCCACGTCAGGTGTGTTGTGTACGCTAGCAGCAACACACGGAGTATACCAGTTAAGCCCCAGGCCCCCGGTACCGGGG